CCACCCGTTCACACCTTACACACACACAGACACACACACATGCACACTCACACACACACACATATGCACACACACACACACACACGCGGGCCACTTCCATTCGCTTATTATCAACAAATCTCGAGAACGGAAACCGTTCAGAGAAATAGAGCTCAAGTTTATTTTCCCGAACTTTCGGAGAATTAGAGGCGGCCAAAAAAGAATAAATTAAAAAGAAAAAAAACAGACAAACACACACACCCACATGCATGCTCACGCACTCACACACCCACACCCTCACAAATACACATACACACGCACACACATACACTCACACACGCAGACACACAAATGCTCACACTTGTGGCCTTATGGAATAGACACACACCACACACACACACACGCACACACACTCACCAAACTAACAGACAAACAAACAAAGACAGTTGCAGCTCTTTTCTTGTTGTTGTTGCCCCAAGTGGTTTTTGTTGCTGTTTTATGCTGCTGATGTTTTGTTGTATATTAATTTGTTGCCTCGGCTCTGCTGTACAAAAAGTCTTTGTGGATTTTTGCCACTCTCTGTAATTCTGCCTTCTCAACTGTTTCAGTTTCAGATGATTTTTTCCTAAAGGTAACAAAATTTTCATCTTTAAATTTAGCAAAAGCTTTGTCAAATTCGTCGTAAGATTTGAATGCCTGCTCTAGAAAGCCTCCTTTACCTTGTCAGGCGGAGACTAGCCGAGATAACTAGGACCATGTGGGAGAAGCAGGTAGATGATGTTAGAGATCTAGATCTAGATCTAATCATCAGTGCAAAAGAGCTCCGTGTTTACTCTGTCGCAATTAACGCCATGTTAGTTGTCACAGCGTCATTCTGTCGCAATTAACACTACCATACATTATGTAGGCTAAACAATCGGAAACAAAACTGGAAGTTGCCCCCCCTGTGGTGTTGCAGGGGGGTGTCCCCCTTGCATTCACAAAATAATCATAATGGTTTGTGGCAGTTTTTAGTGCCAAAATTGTTCTCAGCACACTGAACAAAATGTAGAATTCAGAATAGTGTCGAAAATAGATCTAGTCTCAAATAGGTTTGGCAGGCAACTCAGTTCAGTTTTTTTACTCAACAATTTTGTGTATAAATGTTAGATGGATTTATGCCAGGACCACTTCTCCCGAAGAGTGCCCTATAGACTGTAGTATAGTCACAGTGACTACTACACACAGACCATGTATTGCGGTCAAACCTTCGTAGCGCAACTTTGTAAAGGCAGGCTCTATTTCTCCAAACGCTCGGGAAAATTATATACTTAAACTATTTTTCCGAACGGTTTCCGTTCTTGAGATTTTTTGGTTATTTGCGAATGGTGTGCGCATGCGTGTGTGTGTGTGTGTGTGTGTGTGTGTGAGAGAGATTGTGACTTTGTGTGTGTGTGTCTGTATAAGGTGTGAACGTGGGGTGGAGGGGGGGGGGGGCGTGGAGGGATTTTTTTGTCATCTAGTTTTTGCTTTAAGGGTGACTAATTGCAAAATAGGTTACTGCCAAAGTCGAGCGGTCTTGTTTTCTTGCAGTACCTTTTGAAGTCATTTTCAAATGAAGTATAGTCCGGGAACGTTGGCCCAACCACAATTGAAGTGTATCAAAATATTCAGACACTCTCTAGAAATTGAATTCGATGCAAAAAATGCTTCTCCCTGGTCCTCGCAGAATGGCAGAATGAAAGATGACGCCGAACTCTGGCAAATAACAAAAAAAATCTCGAAAATGGAAACCGTTCGGAGAAATAGAGGTCAAGTTTATTTTCCCGAGCGTTCTGAGAAATAGTCACTTTTTCTGTATAAATCCTCAAATATATCTTTAACGGGTGGATCAATGTCTCCCACACTTTGCACAGCGGTTTGTATCAATCTGCCTTAACTTTTAAAAATTAAAATCATATTTTTTCTAACACAGTTGAGGCTTGATCAGGCCTATTTTCATTTGTTACCCCAGGTGCCATCTTGGACTGAATGGGATTAGATCTATATTGGGCAGAATCGAATAATTATTCGGTCATTATCGGTTGAACATCGTCGTCTATGTTGATCATAATAAAAGTTAAGGTTCTCAATGCTGTTTGTTGTTATAATTGATTTTTAAAACCGTAAAAAACGTTGTTTTGTTGTAGATCGTCTAATCTAGAGATATAGACGTCTGCTTGTTACATTAGATTCAAGTGGTTCAAGAGAAATATCATCAACATGGAAGGTCTCTTCATAATAAGTATTCGATTCTGCCCGGTATTTAATCGCATTCGGTCCAAGATGGCGGCCTGGGGTAAAAAACGAAAAAGTGCCAAAAACTTTTCTTCGTAGGTTGCCCCTGCTGTAAGCCTTTTAAAATCTATAGCTAGAGACAAGCAAAGTGGAAGGAACTATATAACACCCACACTACAACCAGGATGACCCCTACTTAACGTTCTACATCCTCACCCGTCAAAAGCAGGTTGTTCTTCTCAGACTTAAAACAGGACACAACCGACTGAAACACTACCTCTATGCACTGTTCAAAATTGGAAATTCAGAGCAGTGTCAATGCGGAACTGGGTTTTTAAACAGGAAATCATTTGCTGCAAGCCTGACCAATGCTCGAGGCACTTAGAGAAAAATATTGGTCCAACCCTAGGCGGAGAGACCCAAAACTCTACAGGAGCCTGGAGGACCGTCGGTGAACAGCACAGCCTGAGCCTTTGCACTAGAGACTGGAATGTCCATTTAAAAATCATGAACGAGAAGAAGATTTAAAAGTGCTTTGATTTCATGAACAGCAATAAAAAAACCGTGATATTTGAATTGTTCATTTTTATTGCACCTTTTTTGTGCGTGAAAACATTCACGAAAATGTATTCCTCAATAATAAGAAAAAGAAAAAGAGAAAAAAAAGAAGAAGCAGACAACAGTTCATTCTCTGCTCTCTGTTTGCTGACAGGTGCTGGAGATCCTGAGGTACTACCCAGACCCCCAGACGTATGTACTGCTCCAGCTGGACTCGGGCCAGTACTGGGACTTGTACGATGTCGTGGTGGCCAGTGACAGGCATAAGTACAAGTTTGTTCTCACTGCGGATGAGAAAGTCAGGAAACCAGTAAGTCTGTCTGTCTGTCTGTCTGTCTGTCTGTCTGTCTGTCTGTCTGTCTGTCTGTC